TAAGCTCCATCACTGATGAATTCCTCTCGACCACAGTTACAGATATCTATCGATTTGAGGATGCAAGTGCATATTTCAAGGCGATCCTGGAGGGTATGGAATCGTTGCCCCTACTATCACATATTCCATACCCTCCACGTCACACGTCACAACCACCCAGGTCCACAATGGGCAATCAGAGTCATACAGTTGCAGCAGTAGCCACAGCGGCCCGTGAGTCTGTTCCAATATCCCTGTTTGACTTGACAGTAACCTACACATGGGTCTATGATCATGAGGCTTCTCACTGCTATTCAGGACAGAGCTCTGCTTTTGAGAATCACTTAACATGAGATCCTTGCCCAGGTCTGAATATGAGACACCCCACCGCTGGACTCTGTCTCCATATGGCCACACACCAGTAGCTTTAAGTAATCACTTTGTCTCAATCCCATTCAATCTTAACATCTATACTCGCAACTAGTGTACTTACTGCTGAAAGTTCATTACGTGTAATAACATTTTACTACTTGCATATCCTGCCTTTATCTATCTTACTCATAAAATGAAATATTTTCAATGTGCCAGCTTAGTTTAGGCCAATTATGATGTTGTAGCAGTACTTACCTTATCCGGGGGCTAGCCGAGGTCCTCAGTTCCCGCCGCGCGGCTCGCTCGGGGCTCGGATGACGGCGGGCACTGACGGCAGGATTCGGTCACGTGTCCCGCCTAGCTCCAAGAGCGCGCCGCGCGTCTCGGGCACACTCTTAAAGGGGAAGTGGGAGCCGAAAATGAAAACGGTCTCTCGTTGGCCCCTGTCATCCCACATTCCCCATACACTCACATTTTGGGGGCGTGGATATGACAGGGGCCAATCAAATTTAATGTAAGGGTATTTATACTTACCTCTCCCTTAACTCCCTGCCCTATCGTGGTTTCTGTTTCAGTTCCCTTTAGCGCTTGTTGTGTTCAGTTGTGATTTTTCGTACTTGACCTTGGCTTTGTATCTGACTCTGTTTATCTCTTTATCCCTGTTTTGTCTTGTTTGCCGGCTTACTGATTACTGTGTACCAGACCTTGGCTAGTTCTTGTTTTCGCTGTCTCTTTGAACCCTTGACCTCGGATCGTTCCTGACTCTGTATTTCTCTCCTCTACATCGAGTCCGGCCATTCTAAGGTCCGGTAAGACGTATCTGCTCTATATTGTCAATTGTTGGACTAAATCTTGCGAGTTGGGGTAAACTACCGTGACAGATCTATACTTTGTATTGTTATGTTGAAGCGTGCTGGTGATGGTATCCATTCATTATATGCTATCATCTCAATAAAATAATATTAATTACTAAAAAAAATAAAAAATATTGGTAACATTTTTCAAAGTTGAGCAATAATCAATGAAAACAATTGGATATTATTTACCACTGACACATAAGCAGTAGTTTTGGAGCAAGAAGGTAAATACTACAGGATGGCAAGGAGAGGCAGAAAACGTGGGCTTCTGCAGATAAACAGATTATAAAAAATAGGAAACTAAAGAAGAGAACAAAACCCCACTCAGAATAATTTACCTACGTGTTACACCTAACATTCTACAAACTACAGTGACAGATCTCTAACTTGACCTTCTAAGGGTTCCCACAAAATCTTAATTTCCAGGAGTAGAAATGGGCATCTGATTGTTGACGTTACTGGATAATATAACTATTTCACAAATTTGTTTTACGTTATTTTATTTTTTACTTAGAGATTAACTATCTTTGCTGATAATTATTAGATTACATGGTGGAAATATACAGTGAATTATATTTTAATTAATGTGATATATCGATTAGGATGATAATCGTCAGCACCAGGTGATTGATCATCCTTTGCTACTTTATAATGTGTGTCTCCGAACAATTATTATGTTACTACCCATTCATCCTACTGCACCATGGGATGGAGGTAAGGAGATGAAGTGTTGCAGGAAACATACCCTGTTACTAACCTCTGAGTCCTTTTCACAGCCAAGGGGTGAAGAAACTTATTTCAATCACCTCCTCCTATGGCCCTGCGCAATGGGCTAATTCTTCCACACATGTAGCTGGCAATACCCTAGATCTCATTATTTCAAATGCATGCTCAGTCTCCAATTTCTGTGTCAGACCACCACCTTCTATCATTTGTTCTCAAGTGCCCCCACACCCAATACCCTCAACCTAACCCCCCGCATCCCAGGAGGAATCACCTCATCCCTCTGTTGATCCTTATACTGGCTTCCTGCACCCTACAGGTGTCAATTTATAAACGAACCCTTACTATAAATCTCTAACCAACTCTAGCCCCTCTTACATTTCTTCACTGATTCATGGTATGCCCCCTCTCAGTCTCTCCGCTCTATTGGTGACCTTCACCTTTTTGCTGCTCGCACCCTTACTGCAAATTTACGCCTGCAAGACTTTTTACCAGGGGCTCCTTTCCTTTGGAACAGCCTGCCTACCCCTGTCAAACTCTGCCCTAGTCTTCAATCCTTTAAGAAGTCCCTCAAAACCCATCTTTTCAGGATTGCTTATGGCCTCCAAGAGTAACTTCTACCTCTCAAACCTTCCTCTCGCTCTCTTCTATAGGGCCACACTCCACTCTCACCTCCAGTTCTGCTACTTTCCCACCATGTCTATATGCTGTCTCTCTCAATATCCTTCCTATTATGTTTTTATATCCCACCTCCTCTAGACTGTAAGCTCGTTTGAGCAGGGTCCTCAACTATCTATTGTTCCTGTTACATTTTGTTATTGTCTCATTTGGTAAATTCCCATTTTATTGTAAAGCACTGCAGAACAGCTTGAACTACATAAATACCAATAATAATAATAATAATAATAAAAAAAAAGAGAAGCCAATCAAAGGGTATTACCTCGGTACTAGGAGACACAACACAACACAATATTTTCATCTGGTGGGCCTAATCATCACTTAAACAAACCCTCTGCTAACCAAGTCCACAAATTAATAAGATTGTCAAAAAAATTCAATACTTTTAGAAAAAATTGCAAATTATTTATCTACAAAAATTCCCATAGACGTTAATGGTGAGTTCTGTGGATAAATCAGTTGGAAACTTCTCTAACAATATTAAATTGCTTGGGAGGCTTATTAAATGTATACCTGAGGGATCCTTAACATCCTTGTTTGGGTCTTCTAAAAGATTAATAATCATAAGTCTCCTTATGGATATGGATCCTAGTGACCCCATTCCTCCCCCCGTATTTTTTTTTTTGTGTTATGTAAATCGTGCAACAATGCAGCTCCCTGGTGCAGTATTGAAAGTGTTTCTGCAGTAAGAGCTAAGTGGTTTGTACATGATCAGTGAGGGAAAAGTATTCTCTCAAGAGATGTGCATAGCATGTTAATACAGGTTTGTGGTAGGCAAAACAAAGTGAGGGGCTTTTAAACCCTTTTTTCTTTGTAGCATGAGCATGTCCACTGAAATGACTTATCTTCCTTTCTGGTAGGTTTCTATAGCTATACATTATTATGGTCAGCAGGTGTATTGACCAGTAATGTGTACTTCTGATTTGGACCATAATATATATATAAGAAGGTACTAATGTGGATATATACTTTTACATGAAAATGTGACCCAAAGTGTTCCCTAACCTCCATGCATTGTAGGCGTGAAAGAAGCATACTTAGTGTATTTTATAATAACTAGAAAGAAAAAGAAAATTACTATTAATCTATAAAGTGAATATGAAAACTACATTTATAAAAAAAAATAAAAAAAAAATATATATAAGAAATGGATAAAAGGCATATGACTCTGAATAGTAGGAAGACACAACGGCGAGTAACAAGAATAAAAATAGCCATCTGAATTGAAGATGAAGGTATTTAAAGACCAGGCCATTCCCACAAATACAGTTGAATTAATTAACCATTATATTTGTAGGTAAGATGTAATAGCAATTTTAAGCAAAATTCTAATGTCATCTGGGGCTTTCCTTTTGTCAATGGGACATACTTAATCTTACCACTGGTCTGGTATCGTTCAGCAAATCTCATTAATACCTTTTTGAATCTAATCTTTCCACTTCATTAAACCATGGTGTTGCATTATATTGTATGATAATACCACAATAGTGGCTCTGATATTTGTTTCTAAATTAAAAGAAGTAAATTGCTTTACTATGTGACATGCTATTTTGAATCAAATAAGGATAAATTGTTCTGTTGCGTTTTTCATTGTTGCCATTTAATTTTCAGTAACCCATTAAATTAAACAATTCCTACTTTTGACATATGTTTTACATATTCGTTATACGATAAGGATAGGCTGTTATTAAAGTAGAAGGAATATTTAACAGTCTATTGCAATTTAATTAACCTGAAATAGCAATAATGAAACATCTCTATTAAATATTTAATTGCAGTTGAGAAAGATTGGTTTTATAACTATGTGAAACCACCTTTGGCTTTTAACAGAATTCTGGATAATATTTGCCACTGACGTATAATTAACATACAATAACACACTTGTTAAATGCCAATTAAATGCTTAATAACTACCCAATTAATTTATTACAAAGCCTAATTTGTCATTTTCAGTATTGTTAATATGTTTGTAAACAGTTTTTAGAATTAGGATATATCGTTGCATTGGTTTTAGTATCTATTACTCAATAAGGAAAGCCTAAACAATTGGACACACCCACTCTCTTTTTGCATATATCATAGGTTCGAATATCTTGACATGCAACCAATCAGATAGAATTGTGGTAGCAAACAATTGGAAAAAGTAAGTATAAAAGGTTCTCTGAGGTGGTACCAAATGCTAGGACTATCAGTACCGAGTGCAAGTCTCACAGCTGTGTGTTTGGGCTTTGAAATAGAGTTTAATGCAGTATGAAGGTGAAGTGAAGGAGAGGGCAAAAGTCTTTAGGGTCAATCATTTCAAACCCTTTTGTGAGGTTTGGGTGTATTTGCAGTAGGTCCAAGTAAAAGATAACATACAGTGACAGAAGGGTTTTCTTAGGACTGGATGCATTATCTCAAGCAACACTCAGTGAGGTCAGTGAGTCCTGTCTTCCCAACTGACCACATGCTCTTCAGACATTTCATCGGCTTTTCCAAGTACTTCTTCAGATTGGCTGTCACAGTTTTGGGTTTGTCCAGGAGCACTGCCTGGATACAGTTCCTGTAATCATATAAGGACTCACCTTTAGGTTTGTCCAGCTCTTGCAACATTAGGGAAATATAGTGATCTACAAATATCTTTGGGACATCATTAGCCTTGGCCCCCAGAGATTGGATAATGTCACTCAGCTTCTTACTCAACAGGCAGAATGAATGATCATGAAAGTGCAGGTTCAGTGTTTGCTCACTTCTTGGTGCCTGGAGCTTGTCGTTCAGATATCCGGCCAGATCCTTTAACCAGATAGATAAGGTCTCAAGAAGCAGATACTCTTTGTTACATTGCAGACAGGTCTAACACATTGAAACCCTCCACCAGAGTGCTGAATTCCTTCTGTGGGGAACTCATGATGGAACTTTTTGATGCTCTTGCTACTTTGATGCTTTTTCTGTGGCACAGTGCTGCAATTTAGAGGGACCTGCTCTTTGCTTTAATTGTAACCTCGGAATCGTACTGTTTTTCTTCTCCAATGCTTTCCTCTCTCCTCCATTCTTCTTTCCTTTCTTCACGACTTCCCATTTCCCATCTACAGCAACGGATTCTGTGTCTGCCACACACGCAGCTCTTCCACCAGTGTCTCTTCCGGAATCCAGGCTCTGCTCTTTTAATGTTGAGGTTCTGAAAAGGAACACAATAAAACAGCTAAAAGCACATTTGATGCAGACGTTCAAATAAGACATTTAAATAAAGCAACAGCAAATTTGCCAACACTTTTACAAGGTCAATATATTCATTATTAATCTTTGTTGTGTTACCTAACAATCCCCAGAACTGTGTTCTGTCCATGATAAACGAGTAAAAATAAATGTTTCTATCCATTGATTTGTACAAACACATATCTAAAAATATGTCCTATCACAACCCATTGGATGAATATTCAATCAAAGATGGCCTTATAGTCTATTGTTTTATATTAAGATTAAGTTTACCTTCTGAAAGATGTGAGATGTATTTCTTTGGCCTTTGACCACCATACATCATTTTAGCTCTATTATCTATAAGAAACAATAAGGATAGTTTTTAGGGTCTCTTTTAGGCTGTCTGGGAGATGTATATTTGCTGACATATAACCTGACTACTGCCAAACATCATTACCTTTGTGACTGATTGGAAGGCAGCCATTATTTAACAGTTTTATTTCCTTTCTGCAGCTGAGCATCTTGACCACGCTAACTGAGCTGACAGGGACTTTGAAGTGCTGTTACCAGTTCAATGGTTTCCTTGTATTAAAAGGCTCCTCTTCATTTAGACCTCTTCATCTTGATCATTGCTGATGAGCTATCAATAATTTCAAGCTGGCTGGGCATTTGGCTGAAGGTTAAATAAATTCAAACTGGTTGTTTGCATTATTTAATCCAAGCGGAAAAAAAATATATTTTGTAGTAATTTTGTTACCAAGCTGCTAAGGGTGTATGCATTTCTTATAGAATGCAAATGGACACTTATGGTGACAGCACTGGCTCGGAATATAACTAACCAATCAATATATTGATAATTAGAGTATTGACAAAATGGTTCACAGCCAATGAGCCAAATAGTTTTTGTGTACGAAAAACAGTATTTTAAGTATATATATTTTTTTATGCTTGTGGATTTGGTCAAGCTGTACATGTAGGCAAAAATAATCATTCTGGGATGTACTAAAGAGACTTTAAATTTCACTACCAAAAAACTTCAAAGTAGATTTAAAGAAGATTTGAAGTAGTGCTAAGTAAATTACTTCTTATCAATCTATTAATGAAAATATATACTTGTTGTAGCTGTTTTACCTTTTGAGGCAGCACAGAATGTTTCATTCAATGCCAAGGTCTTTTTTTAGGCAGGTTTAACCCCTTAAGGACACATGACATGCGTGACATGTCATGATTCTCTTTTATTCCAGAAGTTTGGTCCTTAAGGGGTTAATGAAGATCAGTGCATAATACATGCAGCTCCGTTTCGACGTCCAAGCTAAAACCAAGCTACACTATATGAATATATATCAGAAACATAATTAAAGGACCACTCCATGCCCCAAAAGCACTACAGCTTGCTGAAGTGCTTTATGGGTGAGGAATAGCCTAGTTTAACCCAAGTTTTTAAAAGTGCTGATTTCTAGGGAGGTTTGAGGTAACGGAAGTGGCAGTAATGCTCTACATGAGTGTGCCTGCCTCCCCACTCACCAGCTCCAGAACTCAGACCAGACATCTGTGTGCGTGTGTGTCGAGCCGGTGTGCACACATAGCTGTATGTGTGTACACGCTCCCGTGTGCACGCGTTTGCTCCAATTCAGAAGCTTAATGAGACGCCTCTGATTGGTTATTTTCCTGTGAAGAGACTATTATTATTATGATATTTATAGAGCGCCGTCAAATTCCGCAGCGCTTTACAATGGGTGGACGAACAGACATGTAGTTGCAAACAGACAAGTTGGACACACAGGAACAGAGGGGTTAAGGGCCCTGCTCAATGAGCTTACATGCTAGAGGGATTGGGGTAAAATGACACAAAAAGGTAAGAATAGTATTAGACTAGTGACAGTTGCAGAAGAGGAATCAGGCTATAAGTCTCTTCCTGGAAAAAAAAAGGGAGGACTTGCTAAGGCTGTAGTTCGCAAGCATGTATTCATATCTACTAAACAGTGATTTCTTTTTTTTCCCCGTGTGGGAAGTGGAGTGCTCCTTTAATACAAATTAATTCAAATTACTTTGAAATAACTTTACTTTCCCAATTAGCCAAAAATGGAACAGGGGCCATTACAGGCAAAGCATGCCTATTGGCGTGATGACGTCAGACACAACAATGTTCGAATATGTGATGATGCCACTGCTTCTAAAAAAAGAGAATGAATCTCAAAGTGAAAGACCAGGTTGCGTCTAGCGGAATAATGATGGCAGACGCAACCGTGTTCGAATGCATAATGATGTCACCATGTCCAAAAAGGGGGAAAGACTTATACACATCATAACAGAAGTAACACGCTATGAAAAAAAAATCTACGATCAAAGGCAGGGCCGGCCTTAGGGGAGCTGTGGCGCCATAGACCAGGGGCGCCCTGCGGCCGACACAGCTCACACATGGCCGGCCGGAATGAAAAATAAATAATTGCGTTGGGCGGAGCTTCCCGTGCAGTGGGGCGAAGCTTCCTGTGCGACGGGGCGGAGCTAACAGTGCCAGATAACTGCTGCAGGGGAGCAGTCCCTGCTTCCCCACCAAACAGTCTCCAGGAGCTGCACTGCCTCCACAATTAACTGGAGGCAGTGTGTCAGTGTGAGTATGACTGTCTGCCTGTGTGTGTGTGTGTGTGTGTGTTTGCATGACTGCCTGTGTCTGTGTGTATGACTGTCTGCCTGTGTGTGTGTCTGTGTGTATGACTGTCTGCCTGTGTGTGTGTTTGTATGACTGCCTGCCTGTGTGTCAGTGTATATGACTGTGTGTGTGTATGACTGCCTGTGTGTGTGTCTGTGACTGTCTGCCTGTGTGTGTATAACTGTCTGCCTGTGTGTGCATAACTGTCTGCCTGTGTGTTTGTGACTGTCTGCCTGTGTGTGTGTGTGTCTGTGTGTGTGCATGACTGCCTATGTGTGTGTGTCTGTGTGTATGACTGTCTGCCTGTGTGTGTATGACTGTCTACCTGTGTGTGTATGACTGTGTGTCTGTGTATGACTGTCTGCCTGTGTGTGTATGACTGTCTGCCTGTGTATGACTGTCTGCCTGTGTGTGTGTGTCTGTGTGCCTGTGTGTGTGTGTGTGTGTGCATGACTGTCTGCCTATGTGTGTGTGACTGTCTGCCTGTGTGTGTTTGTTTGGCTGTCTGCCTGTGTGTGTGTGTGGATGTCTTCCTGTGTGTGTATGGCCATCTGACTCTGTGTGTGTGGCTGTCTGCCTGTGTGTATGTGTGTGTGTGGCTGTCTGCCTGTGTGTATGTGTGTGTGGCTGTCTGCCTGTGTGTATGTGTGTGGCTATCTGCCTGTGTGTGTGTGTGTGTGTGTAGAACTGTATGTGTGGCTCCCTGTGTGTGTGTGTGTGTCAGGGTCTTACCTGGGTTGGGAGTCTGTAGCGCAGATATGTTGCTCACCCTTGCAGATAGCCACAGGCCAAGGTGGTCAGGTAAGAATTCACCCGGCCTGTGGGTCTGTGCACAGGGGCAGTGCAGGATGAAGTACCAAGTCGCAGGACAGGCAAGGACACAAACAGCAGGATCGTCAAAGGATGCCAGAAGACAGGAACAACGAGGAGTAGCCGAAGTCAAGGAATGCCAGAGGTCAGAGTAAATGTAGTCAGAAGCCGGGGTCAAAAACAAGTAGCAGCTCAAACGACAGGAACACTGGTACAAAGCACACAGCAGGATCAAAGACTTGATCCTGATCACAGGGTGAGGCTGAGTTTAAATACCCTGCTAATGTCTGATCAGGGTCAGGTGAAGCACAGCCAAAGTCAAGGTACAGCCCCCAGAGAAATCGACATGCCAGGATGAACAGGGCCAGAATGACAAAGAAATACAAAAGCTGCTGTGGCTCAGAGGAAGGAAGCAGGACCAGGACTGCGAAGTTCCCCGGTTCAAGTCCCTTATTGGGAACTCCATGGGTGACCACATCTGGCCGTCTGTTTGCTGCGTCGAGAACCGTGACAGTGTGTATGTTTATCTACCTGTAACTGTGTATGTGTGTTTCTGCCTGATCCTGTGTATGTGACTATCTGCCTGCGACTGTGTGCATGTGGTGGATTTGACTGTGTATATGTATAACTGTGTGCACATAACTCTGCAAAAATATACACCTGTATTCACACACAGGCCTAAATGCATGTTTTTATCTGAATTAAATAACCATCACACACAGCCATAGTGGTTATGGTGCCAGGGCAGCTTACTAGACTAGGTAGTCAAATGGTTTGACAACTCACCTGGGTCTCGCAAGGTGCCCTTTACAGCCTCTCCTGGTACTTTAATTTTTGATCAACTGAGCTAAGCTCTGAGAGAAAATGAGCATTGACCTGAATGGTCAGTTTAAGCTCAGTAGCAGAATTTTCTAGCACTAGGAGTAGTTGTGTCATGAACCCCAAGGAACCTATTCTTAAAAAGTTTGACTAATTAATCTGTGGGGGCACTCAGGTTCTCCTGGCCCCATAACTATTAGAGCAGTGGTTATGCTGCTTAAAGTGTTCCTTGAAGGTCCACAGTCTGAGTTAATGTCTTCTCCACCAACCAGTGCAGCAGTTTGGAGACATGTTTATTTCTATGTCTTTTTTTATTTCTATGTATTTTTATCTGTGCTAATTCCACCGATTCCCACACCAACTTTACTTAAACAAATGCTATTCTTCCACTCTAGCAAACCTTTTATCTAGTAGTCAGTCATACCCGCCAGATCTAGTATTACTGTACTAATACAGCATCCTGATCATTTTCGGCTACCAAACCCTGTTCCCTATTTTTACGGGTTTCGCTTATTTGCAATACAACTGAAGCAAGTTTTATTTTAATTTGAGTAATAATTGGAGATATGTTTAAACTTGTTTACGTTAAAAACATAGTAGAACAATCAGTATCTACACATATGTGCAAAGAGCTGATTGCCAGAACAAAGTTCTGGTGTGTCAATGGCACCAAAATCAAACAGGCTGCTGTATATTGTTAA